GCAAGCAAAGCATATACGAAAAGCAAGAGCTGTGCTGGATCATGGTCAAAACAGCATCACCCAAGTGAAAAGTGGGGCAAACCACTTAGCCACACCACTCAGCCTCAGTTAGTCGGAGCGTGTGTGGCACTCCGTTTAATTACCCCAGCATTGAGACAGATTGTAACATCAAAATGCCAAAATGCCATTTGGAGTCAAGGTTTCGACCATTCGCTGGTCGCCCGCCCGGGTGGCCAACCGAAATACCGAGCTGCTTGTTTGGTTGCGAACAGAAAAACCAAAAAAAATATATAACAAATGCGAGCAAGTTTTTCTGACCAAATGGGGCTGGTTGGCCGGCCTATCATTAGCCTTATAAGTAGTCCAGGTTTTCAGTTGTTGGCAATGCTAAGCCCCATCTCCTTGGTCTGTGATTTGCAGGTGACATTGACGATTGCATCGTGACGCCGACGGTTCAGGGGCAGTTCACCCCACTGCCCGAGGCGCTGTGCGATGTCATCATGGATCTGACCGCCGAGGGTCAATCGGCGACCATTGAGCATGTGCGCAGCAAACTTGGCGTTCGATTTCCGCACATGACCACGCCCGCTACAGAGGTCATCTACGATTCGCTGGCGCAGCTGATGCAGGAGCAGAAGATCTACCAGACCGCAAAGGGTTACTTCATCTTTACGCCAGAGTGAGCACCACACGCATGTCTCATAGTTTCTACATAGTTTTAACTCTCTGCCAAATCTCTTTCAGACGTCGTCGCAGTCGGTCGCGTCCACGCAGCAATCATCATCAGCTGAATGGTGGCCATAGCACCAATGGCAGCTTGGCGTACTCGCAGCTAACCGAAGAGGAGCAGCAGCAGGACGTGGTGCCGCCAGAGGCGCGCACAATGCTCATGTCAAATGCCGAGGCGCTGCATTCGCTCTATGGCGAAATATCCACGGAACGGGATGGTGATCTGACGCATCAGTGCATACAGACTAATCTGGCGGATGTCATCTGTGGAGGTAAGCTTAAACCAAGGGAGATGAGCAGAAGAAAGAGTTTGCCTCTTTAAGTAAGACGGATGTGAAGACTACAAAGCGCGACCGAACTTTGTCGAAGGCTTTAAATACTCAAGAATAAATTCCTCTTTTTATGCGCAGGTAATCCCAATGATAAGATCATTTATCCACGTGCGGCCAAGCGACGCAGTGCCTCTTTTCCGACACCGCGCAGCTTGGAACGTCGGCACAGTTTGCGGCTCTTTGGCTCGTCGAAGCGCCTGCAACGCTGCGCCTCGACCCGCAGCCTGTCCAAGACCTATGCCCAGACGCTTAACACGACGGACAGCAGCAGCTCGGAATACCAAAGCACAGATTCGTCATCACCCAGTAAGTATTGAAGCAACAGCAGAAAATTAATATGCCTTGACTCTACATCTATTTTGCTTGCTGCAGAAAAAGGATCTTTGCTCTCACGGCTGTTCCGACGCAGCGGACGCGCCAAGCAGCGCCAAATAGAGACCTACTCGGCCCAGTTTCCGCCCGCCGAATGGTTCAACACGCGTGCCGTGCATCTGCACAGTGTGGGCACCCAGACCGCAGATCACGTGAGTTCTAAGATCCAAAGCGTATGCTTCTTAATTGTATAATTTCTGCTCTATTCCGCAGGATATGCCCGCTGTTCACACGCTGTCCAATTCGACGTTCTACGATGGCTCCGAGCTGAGCCAGCGTTCGTCGACGCTGCCACGCCGCCATCGCCGTCACATGTCCAGCGAGTCAACGTTCCTGATATCCTCCAGGGACTGCTCGCCGATACGCCGCCGGTCGCCCGTCTACTGCAGCAGCTCGCTACCTCGCTCCACGCAGTCGATACCGGCCAGCAGCGGCAGCGCCGTGAATCACACCAAAATCAATCACTCATCGGCGACGTTGTCGCGCCTTCAGTCGGCCACGCCTACGCCTATGGCCACGCCCACGCCCATGGCGCAGAAAACAGCGCAAAAGTCGGTAATTGGCAAGCACATCTTCGAGAGCTCACCAGCGCGCTCCTCGACGCTGAAGTCCGCCACGTCCGGCAAGCGACAGATAGACGGGCTGATCATAAATGGCTGTTCGACCGATAACAAGAGCACGTATCGCAGTCTGCAAAGCAGCGGTCCCTCCAGCCTGGAGTCCTGCAAGACATCGATGCTGGCCAGCGGCCCATCCAGCATTGACAGCGGCAAAGTTTCATTTAGCCAGAAGACCAGCGGCCACTCTAGTCTGGACTCCCAGTGCTCCACAAACACAGCTGTGGTAGCTCCAAACACAACGACAACAAATGGCAGCACGCGTTCAATACTGCTGCTGAACGGCTCACCACGTGGCACGCCGCGTCATCAGGCGATGAGAGCGCGAGTCGCAGAGGCGCAGGCGCAGAGGCAACGCGCCAGCACACCCAGTCGCATACTCGAGGAGCTCACATATCCCACAAATGGCAGCGCCAATGGAGTGCCCAATTCGAGCAGCAACAATTCGATAACACTGCAGGTGACCACCAGCTCTAGTGGCGGTGGCCAGAGCATACCCAGCACCAAAATCTTTGTGCAGAACTCGCCGGTGCGAAGTGTGATCACCCTGGAGAATGGCAAAATGCTGGAAAACTCAAATGTGTTCATTATTAACAATGAGACCATGACGAATGAGAAGGGCGAGATCATTAAGAAGACGCTGTCCAAGCAGACAACGACAGCAGCAGCTGGAACAGCTGCAACTGGGATGCCAGTGGCTTCATCGACGCCAGTTAGACCCGAATCGGTGCCCGAGCAGCCGCTGAGCGAAACGGAGGCCAACTCGGAGACCTGCGATTCCATTTCATTCATCAGCGAGAGCTCGCCGGAGAATACCGCGACGGAGACGCCATCCTATGATGGAGGCAAGTATGCCAAGAACACCAACAACGATGCCACAATGAACAACAGCCGCAAGCTGTGCCTGCAGCTGGCCAATGGCATTGCATACAAGAACAATGTGCTCAAAAACGAATCCCAGCCGAATTCGCCATGTGCCGAGCAGCAGCAGCAGCATCCACTGAAATTGGCTGCCCTGGCCAAACAGGATTTTGAGATAGCCGGCTCGGTGGGCAATTTGCACTTCTATGAGAAGCACTCGAAGGATTTGGCGCCAGCGCAGAGCAATCACAAGCTGATGAACAGCAGCAGCGATCTGAAGAATCTCTGCTATGAGTCTGTGTGCCAGCTACAAAAATGCACTATGAATGGAGATGAGCTGGCGCTGGCGCATCTGCTGCAAAAGTCCAGCAATCCGCTGGGCAGTGAGCCCAATCTGGCGCTGAAGGATCATGCGAACGACAAGTCCATTGACAAGGAGGCCATGGATAGGCGTCTCAGTCTGACCAAGGAATCCCTGGAGCAGCATGGCATGGGCAGCGTTTTGGCCGCCGGCAGTGAGGAGCTCTATAATTTTCCCAGCCTCACGGATCTATCCTTTAACTTTACGTCACTAGCGGCGCGCAAAATACTCCAAGGCGTTAGTCTCAACAGCATCGATACGCTGGTGGAGCTGAACATGGCTGCAGCGGCGGCGGCTGCAGTGGCGGTGAGCAGTGCCCAGGAGAAGCAACAGAATAACCAGGCGGCGGCGACGGCAACAACAGCACCTTCCGTGTGCACGGACTTTGGCATGGTCTAGTTCCACAGTGTCTCTAGAGAGTAGTGGAGGCGCCTCCAGCCAACAGAGCAGCTCTGTTGGCCCGGGAAGCCGCCTTATCTTAGCATAATCAAACGAAACCTTAGACGAGCAGCATCAAGCATAATTCGATTAAAATTCTGTAACTTATTATGACTATCGAATATCGGTTAGATAAACGTTTCCGTTTCCATTTTGTAGCAACAAATTGATTCTATTTTTAATTTTTGTATGCGTTTTACGAATTTTCTTACATGTCGAAAGCAGTTTTTTTTATTTACAGTGCCAAAATATGTTTAGTTTAATTTTAATGTTTATATTTTGTATCCCAACAACAACAACAACATCAAGAGCACCCAAAAACACTCGTGAATCATCTGAATGCATCTGAAAGAACTTGCAAGTGCAATTTATTGTAAGAAGAGAACAGCTCCCCACAACTTGATTGTAAAGTTATTCGTACCTCTGCTTAAGTCCCTCCCTTTAACTCTTAGTTTTTGTATATTTGTTTAAAGCAATAGATGTTTAGACTAACATGCTGACAATGCAAACCTATATACATACGGTACACACACACTCACACTCGACACACACACACACACACACACACACACAATCACACACATACGAAATTAACTACGAATATAGAATTTAGCACCTACAACAGAAATACAATAATTTTGTACAAGGCCTTAATTAGTAGAGTCAGCAATAATATAAATAAGTTGAAATCACTAATAAATATGAAGTATACAAATTTCTATAAAATACTTTTATTCATTGCAGCTTCTAGACATACTGTTAAGTCAGCTATCCTGCTTTCTGCTGCATACTTTCATTGTCGCTGTTAGCAACATTAACAGATCATGTAACAAGCAGTGCACAAGCAGTTAAAAAATCTTAAATCTTGGATATCTCCGCTATTTCTCGGCCGATATCGGAATGATATACCTCTTTCGACTCGTACGGACCAGGACCTTTGATTCGCATTCAATTCTGATTTTGAAAAATTTTCCAAAATGGCAAAAAATGCAGTGGTTACATCACGTTTTTTTCGAAAATGGGTGTTGTCATGAAATTGAAATATTTTGATGCCGATCGATTCGCAGGACCTCCACGATTACAAAGAGGGCAATCTTCCCGCGATCGGACTTCAAATACTCGAGTTATGGCCATTTGTGCATATTATTTGAAAAATGTAGATTCACCAGGACTATTTATGGTATGTTAAAAGAATCGGGAAGAGGAATATGCTAATTATTTGGTATTATTTCTTTTCATTTATTTAATTTTTAAGTCTTTTGCTTTATATATATATATATATATATATATAAGTATATATATCGGGTGTTTGTTTCCGTACACTGCGTTTTATTATTATTATTATTATTATTTAATATTTTAGGTTTTGGGTAGTTTTGGTTCTATAAATATGAATAATTATAGCTAATTGCTTTTTAGTTAATATTCATGGTATATACACACGCACGCGGTATATACGATCGTTTTTAGTTACACAAACGCAATTGTGGGATAAGAAAACGTAATATACAAAGCGCGCACTTATCGGTTGGATTGGTTTTTTTAATAGAACTACGTTTATATGTACTGGATAGAAGGGATTAGATACAAAAGAAAGCAACTAGCTGCTGAAAGGGTATTTCAAAAGTTGGTTTATGCTAACTGGCCGCTGTCCGAGTTATACGAGTATGCGGCGATCATAGAGGGTATTTGAATAGATAATTAGTTATAGATAAATATAAATTGTTGATAAATGTTGTAGTATATGTACAATTAGTTTTTTGAAAACTTACTTAAACCGTATTTCAATCGCGTAAATAGACAAAAATGTAATTTATGTACATTAATATTAGCAGAGAACGAAGGAACATTTAAGAATTCAAATTGTAGCTGCTGAGTGTGTTAGGTGTTGATTTAAACAAAAAAAAAATGGCTTTCGGTTCGGTTCGTTTCGATTCGGATCATACAAAGATCAAGCTACTCGTATGCTATATAGATGTGTGTAGGATGCGTATTATATATTTATCGGTTGGTGAAGAACTGAATATACATAAATTGCGCCATATTTAGACCTCGGTGGAGCGCGAGTCATCAGATCGCGATGCCTTGCGTTCTCGTCCTGGTATGCGTCCCATGACCACAGCTCCCGATTGTGCTTGAGCCTGTGCTTGTGCCTGGGCCTGTGCCTGTGCCTGGGCCTGTGCCTGGGCGTGTGCCTGCATTTGTGCCTGCGCTACCTGCTGCTGCTGCAGCATTTGTTGTTGCTGCAGTAAATAAGCCGCCTGCGACTGTTGCACAAAGTTGGCGTGCGTGTAGGCCTGCATACCGGGCGCCGCATACACATTGCTGGTGGTGGCCTGCAGATTGAATCTGATCTTGGATGCCGCATTGGCCGCATTGGCGGCAGCTGCAATGGCAGCCGCGTTTTCCCGCGACGCACTTGACGTGGTTGTCGACTGAAACGAGATGCTCATGCCGCTGTCCAGGGAGCCGACGCTGCCACGTCGTTGTGGCTTCTCATTGCCAACTGGGATGGAGGAGAGAAAATGCCAGATAAGCAACTTGTTAACTTGACAGATATTTCACACTAAAAACTTACATTGTTCGTGCATGTCCAACAGACTGTTGCTGAGCGCACTGCGCTTCAGCTGCGTGGAGTCCGCCGAGTTGGGCGCTTGTTCGCCGGAGGCTTGGGTGCCCGGCTGATAGGGACATGGACAGACCTCGACATCGGCGACGCCGCTGTCGCGATTGTCTGCATTGCCGGGGGCACGATTGCGCGCCGACTTCTGGCGCTCGAGTTCAGCCTCGATGCGCAGCGATTCCATCTCGTCCATCTCGCTGATGGACTCTTTGAGGTCCTCGGCAAACTTGCAGCGATCGTGCTCGTTGCGCGCATTGAAGGTGATCAGGATTTTGCCGTCGACCTTCTGCGACAGCTGAATGCAGAACGGATAGTTGGGCAAGTCCAGTAGGCTGACAACGGCGCCGCAGAGCGGGAAACTGTTGCGGAACGTGTACGTCACAGAGGTCTTTTTCTTGCTAAAGATTTTTGTGATGACCAGCAGATCGTTGAACAGGAACACCTCGCGCTGATGGACGCCGGGGCGTTCTTTCTTGTTCACATCGGGTATCTCGTACAGGCGACAATAGCAGACCAGCCGGCGATGCGGCAGCGCCAGATTCGGCTTCTTGCCCACTATAGTGGCCTGGACCTTCATCACCTGGGTGACATGGTCGCTGCCCGGCTTGAACTCGTCGGACTTGACGCGCTCGAAAATGCCGCTCAGCATATCCTTGTCAATGTCATGGCAATCATCGATGCCCCGCAAATTCTTGATAAAGTCCTCGACGCGCATGCGCCGCTCCGGCTTCAGATTTGGCGTATGCAGATCCGTGTTCAACATGATGATGGCAAACGCTAGCACAAAGATCTACAAATGGGAGAGAGAGATTGGGTTAAGTAAAATACTCATGGATTGCATTTAGATTTATTTGGCTTACCGTATCGGATGATCTCAGTCGCCCCACAATGTCCGCATTGCACTCGCAGTAGCGCTGCGAGAAGATCTCCATGAGGCGCTCGATCTTTTGCGCCTCGCCGGGCATGCGGAAGTAGGCCTGGAATTTGCGCAGCGCCACGTCCACCTGTCTGCCGGACAGATCCAGTTCCATGGCAAAGCAGCTGAGCACCGCCATGTTGAACTGATTCTGGAGATTGCCCAAATACTCGCCGATCATCTGCCGGGAGAGGCCCTTGCGCGTGATTAGGAAACGTGCTACGCCCTGCGGCGTGTTCTCGAGAAAGCCGCGCCTGATCAAATACGTAATGCCCTTCTCCGGCTTCTTATTGAAAAGATTAAGCCCGACTCGATACTGACGCTTGCGTATCGTCTCCGACATCTTGTAGTTCTGGGCAACGCCCGCCGCGCTGGCCGCCGCCTGCAGCTGCTGCTGTTCGTGCTGCTGCTGCTCGTGCTGCTCATACTGGGCGGCACTGGTGTGCGAGGAGATGGCATGATCATCTGTGGGCGGCACGCCGCCAGCTGCTGTGGCCGCTGCGATCGCCACCTGGATTTGGCCAGCGGCGCCGGCAGAGTCCGCCGAATGCGTCGAGAACTGTTGTGAGCTGTTGAGCGCTGTGCCGCGCTTCCATGTGTGCGGCGAGTTGCTGCGATCCGAGCCCAAGTCGCTGTTAATGTTGCGCTCGGCGGAGGTGACGCTTGAATCTGAGCCGGAGCTCTGCACGGATGTCAGACTGCCGTTCTCGGCCGTCTTGCAGAGCCCGTTGGTGCGCAGCAGCGAGGGCGGCGGCGGTGTCTGGCGTTGCATCATCAGCAGTTGGCTCTGCTGCTGCGCGGTGATCGAGGATGTGCGCTTGGGCACCTCCGGCGGCACCTTCTTGCCACTGCCGCTGCCCTGGCTGCCGCAGCTGGGCGTGGGCGTGGTGCTGCCGCCCTTAGGCCGCATGTAGATCTGCGCCGCCGAGTAGTAGGGCGTGTGCGGCGAGTGGCCGCTGGTGTTCACCCACGAGGCGTTCAGCGAGGTGTCCGCCGAGCTGGCATAGCTCAGATCGTGCGGCGAGCCGTGGTAGCTGGTGTAATAAGCGGCTGCCGTGGGCATCGCCTGGGCATTGTAATAATGCGGTTCCGCGGCGTGCAGCAGATTCACGTGTGGATGCGAGGCCAGGCCGGATACGGAGGTTGTGGAGCTGGCAATGGACACGGGTGAGGCGCCTGACGGGCAAAACGGAAGCAAGTTGTTAGCGTATGTCTTCGGGCTTAAAAGCTATATTCAAATTGACAATTGTTCTGGCTCAAAACTCAACTCAGAGTCGAGGCCAATTCGGTTCGGTTCGGAGCAAACACTTACCCGACTGACTACGTGGTATGGGACTGCAGTCCAGCTGGCGACGCTCACGCATCGACAACGAACGTGTCGGCGGCGTCCGCGAGAGACCCGGCGAGCCGGCGCCTGGCGGACCTGCCATTATTGTCACACGTGGCTGTTGCTGTGCCGCCTGCTGCTGCTGTTGTTGCTGCTGCTGTTGTTGTTGTTGTTGTTGTTGTTGTTGTTGCTGATGCTGCAGTTGCTCCAGCTGAGATTCTGTGGCGCTGCCGTAGGCAGACGATAGGGAGGCATTCGCCGAGGCGCTCTCCTCGGCCAGGGTCAAGCTCGAGGCGGTCACCACCATGCGCCGGCTGAGACGCTTCTCCGCCTTGGCCATGGCCGTAATGGAGGCGAACTTCTTGACCATCATATAGTGTCGGAAGGCGCGCTGTATGGTAACAGCCGCATTGCGTGCCCGCACGCCGCCGTACTTGCGTTCCAGCAGCTCGATCTGTTTGTCCAGCAGATCCTGCGATAGCTCGTAGCTGCAGAGAGTGAAGCAAACGATTTCAATTTAAATAATTTTCACTTAACGTAAACAAATAGATTATAATTATTATTTATACAGCAACTGCGCCACTGCGTGTCAATACACTGAGCGAATTTGCGCACAACTGGCCCAAGTCGCTGCCAGTTTCTGCGCCCCAATGATAAGATAGCGTCTGCCTTTGCTCTAAGGCGACGTGTGTGTGTCTGGGTGTGTGTGAGTGTGTATCTTTGAAACACAACTCGAGCTATCGACCTGATTAAAATGTTGCCACGAGCAACCACAACAAGCCAAGCGCATTTGCGGTCGGGGGCGGCGCGTTGCAAGGGGGCAGCAGAATTTGCTTATAAACAGTTTCGCCCATTTTTAATTTTGATTGTGGCTGATAGGAAAGAGCGCAAAGTCATGAGTGCTATTAATTAACAGTTAGATCTAAACCAAAATCAGCCAATTCGAAATGAATTTTAGGCAAAATCAGAGCGTTCAAAAGTATGAGCAGAAATCAAAGTTAAAGAAAATATAAATTATAATGATACCAAGAAAAGTCTTTACAGCTGTTTCTGATAAAAATATGAATACTATGTTTAATAGTTAATACTTGAGATAAAAACTTTGTATTAGGTCAGTTTATGCCTTGATTAATTCTCGATTTCTCTTTAAGATGAAAAGAATTAAACGTATTTCAGCATAATCGGGATGCATATTGGGCAAGTTTTAATAATTTACTTGAGTTAATTGCCGCTTGTGCCTATAATTCTCAACCTGTTAACGCATTACACGAGCTTTGCACTTGGTTTAAAGAGAACTCCGAAGTCAAACGTAAGACTCTGATATTTGATCGAGTGGTTGTTTAACAAGAAAATCAGCGCATCGTATACAAAGAGGGGGATATCAAGAAGAAGAAGAACAACAACAACAGTTGTCCGTTTATCTGAAGAAAAACAGCTGGAATTTCTGTGCGTAACGTTTGTTCCTGGCAAAAGTGCAGGTGTCGCTTTCGGCGCATTGTGAAAGTCAGCTGTCAGCTGATACGCTGCCGAGGCGCATTCCCAAATATTTACATACGCCCCACGTTAGCATGCGTCAGTGCCTAATCTTGGATATATCGGGCGGGGTCTAGCGGGAGGCACCCTTTGCTGTTTATCAGAAATTGGCGCAGTGCAAAGTCCAAGCTAATTAGGCAGACGGCGAAGCTACGCTGTGGGTCTCTGTTAACTGATCGCCCGCCTGTTGATCGGTCAAGATAACTTCCTCTTCTTCTTCGTTGTCTAGCTGTTATCACTTGTGGAAGGAACACTTACGCTGACTGGGCGCGCGTGCGCTTGAGCACATCCCCGCCGTTCCGTATGGAGTTCTTCTTGTGCATGTTCTGCTGCTGCTGCTGCTGCTGCAGGACAACTGCGCCCGCTGCACCGGCTCCGGTGCCGACGCCGCTGCCGGCAATGACCACGGCCCCGCCATGATGGTGATGATGCCCGTGGCTGTGCAGCAGGTGGTGATTGTGATGATGATAGTGGCCAGCGCCCGCTGGTGCCGCCTGCACTTGCATAAAGTGCTGATGCTGCTGCAGTTGCTGCTGCTGCTGCTGCTGATGGCACGTGGGATACTGCTGGATCTGGTAGATCATCTGCGGATGCTGCGGCGCGGGATAGTTTATGGTCGCGGCGGAGTTGTGACCACCTCCGCCGCCCGCATAGTGGTTCTGCAGGTAAACATAGCCGCCGACGCTGTCAGCGGCTGCGCTGGAGCCGTGGGCGGCCACTGGCGCTCCGGCCAGATCGTATTGTGTGGAGCCGCTGCGCTCGATGCTCTTCTGGGGAAAGCTGTAATCAGAGAGAGAGAGAAAGAACAATTAATAAGGATCAAAAGACTTTAGACACAACTTTCGTTCGACCCAACAGATTAATATGAGCTCGATGCGTACCTTTCGCCAATTATAAAACCCGAAATGCAAATGATCATCTTGCCTATTCTATGATCTTAAGTTTTTGGTAGAAATCACGCACACACACAGATCACACACATAGATCACGGCACAGTTATGGCCAGGTAATATTCATAATATTCACAAATACAAAATCGACGATCGTTTGTTTAAATATTATTCAAATTGAAATTCTCTTTTCGATTCTCGATTCTCGTTGCTTTCGGTTAGACCGAAGGGAGGAAGCACCACGCGAGCATTTGGAACAGGCGGAAGATCAGGTCGTCGCTCGGCAACGTTCGCGTTTCAACTAAACCGAGCGTTTGGCCAGAGCTCGACAAGCTGCTTGTTGGGATCGAATCGAGGTTCAGAAACGTGTTTCGCTTAACTCAGTTGTGTGCGTGTGTGCGAGTGTGTACGTGTGTGTGTGTGTAGGTGTGTCAGCTGCCTACGCATCCAAAATGCATCTGTTTTGTTGGCCGAAGACAACAATTGCTACCCTTACGAAGCCATAGACAATATGAACACACAACAAAGAGAAGATCCTAAGCGTAAAAGGATCCATTAAACAAAAGCAAAGCAAAAAAAAAAGGGAAGAGGGAGAATGACAGTAGTCTGAGGCAGGGGCAGGGGAAAGATTTAGAGTGCCAGTGCCATATGGCGGATGGATCAACAGCTCGCAGGGATTTCGACTGAAGGAAAAGTTACGGAAATGATTAGCTAACGATGACAAACACGAAAATTCCCCTAGATCATGCACCCCTAAGAGTAGAAAGTGTCAATAATAAGATTGAAATAAATATTGAAAATTGATGACAGATCACACGATTTTGTAATGCTGAAGAACAACAATAATTTGCTCAAAGTTCGTCGATATAAAAATATTAAATAATTAAAAATTTGATTTAAAAGAAAGATATATTTCAGTGGAAATCAAGGCACCAAAGAGATTCGAACATGGATCCTCTTCGTTTTCATCAACAAGGAGAAAGTTTCACGAATCAGAGCAACTTTTTTGATTGGAATATATCCATATATACCCATAATACGGCTGCATAACTACCTTAAACTAAAATCTATTTGCTTTGATTGTCTCTCCCTGCTACAACTGTCTTTCTAATTGTGTAAATCGATTTGCATTGCAATGCTTGAATCATTGATTATGCGATTCGTATAGCTGCCCTCGAACCGCCTCGAATCATGGCTCAGCTGGTGGCCTAATAAGTTTTTAGCTCCGGAGTTCCAAAACGGAAAACTGAACAAAGGGCAGCTGCAATTCGCACCCATGAAAAAAAAACCTGCTTGCAGGATCACGAAAAGGGACAGGAACACGCACAATACGATTTTCCATAGGCAGGGGTATATCATCCTTGCGCGATTGTTTCCAGTTTCCAAATGCACCTGGCGTTCATTTTGTGTTGTCCTTACGGCAGGTACGACTGCCTGGCAACAGCAACAACAACAGCTTGTTGTTATTGTTGCCAGCTAAGCAACTTGACGCACTCTCTCGCTCTGCTCGTTTGCCCCATTCTGTAGCGATTTAAGTGCTCGAAAGTCCTGCCTTGTAAATTGAGTCCAAGCGAGAAACATCTGCCACACGTCGGCCCTAATTGTTTGCCGTTGCACATGTGTCCAGCTGTTTGTTTGCCTGCGGCATAGCTGTAGCTGTGTCTGTATCTATGTGCGTGTATCTGTTGGATACATGTGAATGTATCTTTGTAGCTTGCGACGTCACACACTGCGCTTTGCTCGCGAGCCAAAGTTTTAATTTGTAGTGCCCCCGGCCATTTCCTCTGGCTGCCGCGCATTCACTTCCTCGCTGGCTGCTTGATATGCAACAAGTGTCGCCTCCGTCCGTGGCGACTTGCGTGACCCGCACGACGACTGCGGCGTCGGCCGCCTTTTACCAAAGCGCAACCGTAATTGTTATTGATTTTACATTAGTGTTCTTTTGAGGACTTATGCTTTATGGAGTGTGCCCCCACCAAAAACAACAAACAAACACGCAGATAGACAGACAGACAGCTGCTAGACAAACTGACAGGGTTTTAGGTTGTCATATTAATTCACACTGAAATGGGCGCCCATGTGCATTGGGAATTCAAGATATGATTTACCACAAATACATATATTAAATTAATGGGCCAACTGGTTTACTATTTAGTATAGAAGATTTGATCGTGTACATTACTGACTACTGCAGATTTTATAATTGTTAATTATTTAATTTACATTTAGCGATCAATCAGAAAATCAGTTATAAGTGTTAAGCAATTTGATAATTGCTTGCAAAAATAACATTCCAAATTTAAGCAATATAAATTTCTGACATTGACTTCAAATAATTTCCTTTAATATTGTGCATTAATGTTAAGAAATCAATTTAATAATTATTTATACATTTGTATCTGACAGCGATATGTTAGCTAACAGAGCTGTTAAGTTAACAGTACCTTAACATTGCTAACATCAGCCCAGTGTTATGCAATGATTTTGTATAAACTGTATACAAAGTAATTTCACCTCTGCAGAATACAATACACAACACAACAGGTTCCACTGGTTCCACACAGATGAAATGCAATGAAATTGGAACACAGGTTCCACATATATGAAACAGCAGCTCTGATCCAATACATCATAAAACAGGTTCGACAGCACGGCCTACAACTGACAAAGTTGAATCATAGTGTGAATGAAACTGCAGCTAAACTAAACGAAAATGCATTACAATATAGAACAGGTTCCACGGCGCGGCTTATCATTGGCAGAGATAAAACGCAGTGTAAATAAAGCCGTAATAGGTGCCAAACAGCGTATTTTAAGGCATTTAGCAGACCAATTGTTAAACGGCTATAAATATATTTTAATACACTCATAAGCAGCAGATCCAGCGATAACGATAAGCGTTGAGTGCGCTTGCTGCCGGTTTCCCTTTTGCCTTTTGCCAGTGTCCGGTGGGCGCTTACCTGACGGCCGTCACATGGTGCGAGGTGTGCGTCTGCGTCTCCTTGTGGCGCGTCGATAGGCTGACAACGGTCACGTGACGCGTGGCGGTGCGCACCACGCGACGCACTCGACTCCGTCCATCGCCGACGACAACAACAATCGGCGGCGGCTTCTTTTCGCTGTCGTATTGCAGAAAGGACTCGCCGCCGCTGTCCTCAAGGGATGCGGGCGCGGGCACGGGCAGGTGCCTGCGATTGTTGTTGCTGCTTTTGTGGCTGCTGCTCGTCTTTGACATGATCGGAGCGGGAACGAGAGATTGAAACAGCGACGTCGCATTCGTCGCGTTAGACACACTCGACAAAAGTCGCACAATTGAGTCCAAATATAAACAGTTATAATATCGAGTGGTTTGGTAGGCGTGGCTACACTTTCGCCTTCACTTTCCGTAAGTTTGTTTTGTTGTTTTTGTTCTTGTTGTTGTTGTTGTTGTCGTTGCGCTTGCCGTGTATTTGTTTGTAGATTTTCTTTTGTTTTGCTTTCGTTTTATTCATTTGCAAATTGATTTCACATTGTTGTTGTTTATTTCGATGTTATATATTTATTGTTCTTACTTTCGTTATAATTTATGTACATATTTGATATTTGTTTAGTATTTTTTGTGCATGTACTTTGATTTCTTTGCCATTTAATCTTTGGTTTAGTTTTGAAATTTTTCGTTGCTTCCCTCTGCCGCTGCGCTGGCTACATTCCGCTGTCGTCGAGCGTTTAGATAACGTTTTTATTTTGCGTTTGCTTCTAAAGCGATAATATTAGTTAAATACTTTTAGTAGACATTCCAAGCGCGTTTTGCCGTCTTTTGCGCATTGCGCACCCCATTTAAGTTAACAAGCCCAAAAGCTTGCCATCGCCTTCATTGTGAATGCCCTTCAAAAACGGTGTAATAAAACAGCAGCAGCAGAAGAGACACAGAGAGAGAGAAAGAGAGAGGGGCGAGAGGGAAGTGACAATCGCTAATGAAGCAAGTGGGTTGCGTGACACTTGCAAAATGTTTGTTTGTTTGTTTTTTTGTTGTCGCGCTTTTGTGCTTATTGAGCGAGAGAGACTTGCAAACTCACGACTCTCTCGAAGCGCATTCAATCAGCTTTGTGGCTTTTTAGGTCAGCGATCGCCGATCGCAAGTAAAAGTCGCATAGCTAGAAAATAAATGAATAAATGCCGCAGCGAGTGCCAAGTAAACAATATTCAAATTGAATGCGAATTGTATGCGAATTCATATGTCAGACACATGCCACACACGCCACACACACACACACACACACACACACACGCCAGGGGAGGATGTGAACTGTTTGGCATCCGTCTGCACGGAAAAGCTTGCCAGACAAGCTGAGAAAGCTTTTTGGCACTGCTGCCAGCTGACCTGATCCACTTTAATAAGTCCATAAATCATATGGAAATTTACGTGAGAATATTGTCAATGGGCGGAAAGCGAGAGGGGGGAGGGGGGCAGACAGAGAAGAGACAATGGCGCATAGAAAGGGAAAAAAATTCGTTTGTTTATCAACTGACAAGATCAAGATCGAAATGTAAATTTTGTCGCATTAAATATGTATGCATGTAGTACAATCGAACAAAGGCAGAAGCAAAAGAAGAAGAAGACGCCATCCCCCACACTTTCCAGCCATAAATCTGTTGACTTGTTTTCGGTTTTGGTTTTGGCAAGTTCAAGAACCTTTGATGAGTGTCTCGAGTGTTTTTTGAAAACGATCGCGATCGCTGATGGCTTCATCTTCATCATCATCATCATCAGCGTTAACAGCGTCAGGTCTCTGATTCGTTACAATTCTGGGCAAATGTTGTCCGAAGCCCAGATGACTGTCACAGCGGCGATTGTTTCGTCATTTGTTGTTACCCAGAAACACACACACACACACACACATTCGTATATAT